CCCCCGCCCACCCTGGGGCTCAGGTTTCCTGTGAGCCGGTCCTTGGGGGATTCTGGTATTTTCAATTACCAGCCGGGCACGCTGGCAGGGGACACGGTCAGCCGTGCCCTGTGACCCCTGCGAGGAGATGGAGCCCCAGGGAGCCAGCATGAAAGAGGCTGTGGCCGGGAGGGGGGCAGCCCGGGGCCTCCCGGCTGGAGCAGGTGGTCAGGGGCCCTGCTGCCCTCCAAGTCCCGGGGACAGTTCCCACTGTCCTTGGCTGAGACCACCCTCCCTGGTGCCTGTGTCCTTCCAGGGCTGGGATGCTGGGCCTGGGCCGGGAGCCAGGAGCCCCCCCACCGGCTACTGCAGGACGCAGCGTCCGGCTCCTGGCCTCGCCTCTCCAGACTTGAGCCAAGGAAGGAGGGAGACCTGTGCACTTGACCTTCGCCCTTCCACGAGTTAGGACTTCGTGACAGCCGGAGCTAAAGCGTGGGGAGAGGTGGCAGCCGCTGTGGGGTCTGAGGCTCCACCCAGCCTCGGCCTGGCGGGCCCTGGAGCCTCCATGGCGGGGCTCAGTGGCTTCCCACTGTCCCCGGCACAGCACAGGTACCCTGCAGGCCGGCGGGGCCACCTGCCTGCTCTCCTGTCTCCCTGCACCCTCCACACTGGCCCAGGCACCCAGGTGGTCACGGCAGTTGACCCCAGCCTGGGCCCTGCTGTTCTGCCACAAGCCTGGCCCTGTGGCCTGCTCCCCTCTCCAGAGGTGTGGGCTCCAGTGTCCCCTCGGAGGTGCCCCGAGGGCCCCCAGCCCTCCACACCCTCTCTGCTTTCCTTAGAGATCAGCACTCTGCAGGCAGGGACCGTCTCTCCTCGGTCCCCTGTCCCCAGTGGTGGCACAGGGTGTGTAGCTCACAGAAGGTCCTTACTGGTGGCCAGAGGGAGGGAGAGAGGCCGGGGCTGGGCTGGGCTTCAACTCAGCCCCCGCCCCAGGGGCGGGCCAGCAGAGGGCTCGCAGGACTTCCGCCACA